CAATTTTTCTACTCTTTACCAGTTTGATTATTATGTTTTTTAATGAATTTATACTTCTTTGTTAATTAAGCAAGTTTAACTTAAATATAAATAATTAAAAATATTAATAATTTAATAATAATAAAGAAAAAAAGTAAGAAAATATTTCCTTTAATTGCATTTAACTCTTTATTAGGTAGAACATTCTTTACTATATCATTATAAAACTTTGATTTATTTCCTTTAGACTAAGCTGAGTAATTTTCTTGAATATAGTCAAGTAAAACTTTAATTTCATCATGTTTTCATTTATTTCTAAATCTTTTATTGAAAGGATCTTGATTTTGATCATAATTTTCTTCTTATTCTGTCTCATCCTCATCCTTTTTTTATAAAATAATTAATAGCCCTTTTTAATATCCTTTTATAATTAAAAATTCTAAAATATATACTCACCTTTTCTATTTTAAGTGAACTCAAATTCAAGTTTCATTGTTGAAGAGAAGTATTAGTTAAATTATATAATTGAGGATCATATTACTGTTGAAAAAAAGTGTGGTGTTGCTGGGAAAAATTATGTTGCAATTGGAAAAAGGGAATAATAAGTTGTTGAGAAAGAACTTGTTGCTGTTAAGGAAAAGTCTATTATTACTATTATTCTATAAGAACTAGTCTGAACAAAATTAAGTGTAGAATTGTACTAGTTAAATGCATAAGTATTTTCTTTTTTAAAGGTCTATGAGTATTAATAAAATCAGTATTAGAAGTATTAATGCGTTTAGTAGAAGTTTTTTCTTTACTTTGTACTTGATTTATAGTTTCTTTAAAAGCATATTTTTTACATGTTAACAAAAATAATCAAAAAATTCTACTTTTCTATAGTTTAGAAAAATTGAATTACTAATCAAGTTACACAATTCCATCAGCCAATTTTTATCAACTCAAATCTGATCAAAAATCTGAACAATTAAAATTGAACTTATTTTTTTTTATTATATTATTTAAAAAGTTAACTGGTTAATTAATAAAATTTAACTTAAATTTTAGCTTACTTTTTATTTAATTTTTTTGTTAGTATTTTAGTAATATTTAAAGAAATAAAATTTGATTATAAAAAGATAAAGTTTAAATTAAAATTATTTTTTAAAAAATAAAAAAATTAAATTTTTATATATACAATAAATATTTTATATATGTTAGAAATAAACTTAAATAGTATATTGAATAATATATTAAATCAATATAAGATTTAAACTAAATTAGAAATAATTTATCAAAATTATTTATAATAACAATATTAATAAAATTGTCTTTATAAATAATTTCATTTTGACAAGTTTTCCAAATATTTAATATTAGTTTAACAAAGAAATGTTAAATTATAAGATATTGATTTTATCTAAAAAATCATAATTATATAATACCAGTTTATCATATTTTAGGTTGATTTATATTGATAAACTATTAAATTTTAATCTAATGAAATATAAAAAAAATATTTAGTTTAAAGTTTTAAATAATTTGAATTAATTTATAAATTTTTATTTAGTTTAGATCAATTTCAATTCAGTTATAGATTGTATAAAAATCAATTTAAAAATTTTAGATAGTTTATTCTCAAAGAATGATAAAAGTATTATTCAATTGAAATGATAAAATATTATTCCAAAAAATAAAAGAATTGTTTAATTGGAATAATAAAAATATTATTATAAAATAATAATAAAATTTATTTAATTAGAGTAATAAACATATCATTTAAAAGAACAATAAAAAAATCTTTTATTTAAAATGGTAAAAATATTATTTGTTCAAAATATTATTTTAAAAAAATAATAAAAATTTTTTATTTAGAATAGTAAATATTATTCTAAAAGAATAATAAAGAATTATTTAATTAAAATAATAAAATATCATTCATTTAAAATAATTTTAATTATAATTCTAAATGAATAATAAAATATCATTTAATAAAATATTTAAAATTATCATTCTAAATAAATAATAAAAGAATTATTTATTTTAAATAATAAAAATATCATTTCAAATAAATAATAAAATATTATTTTAAGTAAATAATATAAATATTATTTAACTGAAATAATTCAAATTATCATTCTAAATAAATGGATTTATTGCTAGGAAAATCAGGTTCTAGGAATTTTTTAACAAAATTGAGATTTTTATTGCATTTTAGTTTTTGATATTATTAGATTAAAATGTATTAAGCTTTTAATTTAAGTCAAAAATTTCTCAGAATCTGATTTTCCTAGAAACCCTCTCAAATAATAAAATATTATTTAATTAAAATAATTCAAATTATTATTTTAAACAAATAATAAAAATATTATTTAATTGAAATAATTTAAATTATTATTTCAAACAAATAATAAAAATATCATTTATTTAAATTGATTAAAATTATTGTTATTTAAAATAATAAAATTATTATTCTAAATAATTGATAAAAATATTATTTAATTAAAATAATTTAAATTATCATTCTAACTAAACTATAAAAATATCATTTAATTAGAATGATTTAAATTATTATTTTAAATAAATAAAACAAATATCATTCATTTAAATAATAAAATTATTATTGATTTAAAATGATAAAAATTATCATTTCAAATGAACTGAACTTTTAGATTAATATAAAAATCTTAGTTTTGTTTAGATTTTCATTATTATCACTGAGATTGTTTTCAGTTATTTTAACATCTAAGTCAAAAGCTAATTCTACATATTGGAGTTTCTGACTTTAGAATTTTCTTTAAGTCCTATAGATATTTATTATACTTGAATCAATTCAGCAAGTTATTACGTCTTAGAATTTAAGATATATTAGTCAAACTCATAATGATAAACTCAATAACAAATTAGTTTAAAGTATTATAACAAATCTTAGATAAGAGATAACGTTAAAGGAAAAAGTAAATTTGTATAGATTTAAATTGATTTCTTTATTTATATTATTGAAATTCATAAGAAACTTATAAATGAGTTAATTTATAACAAATAAAAAACTATTTTATTTATACAAAATAAATTTGCTATAGCTAACTACTTGCTACATTATAAACTAACTATTTAGTAAATTTTAGCTATAAAATAATAATAAATAAATTAGGTGAATCAGATAAATTTTGTAAATCCTATAAATTAAATAAATCAGTCTAATTTTTTAATACAATACATCAATTAAAATCTTCTTTAATATAATCTATATGAAATTAAATTCAATGACTTTTATAAATTATTTTTCTAGAGTAAATTTTTAACATCAATACTATTTATAATTTAGATTAGCTATAATCTAAACTATTCAAAGTATTAATTTGACTATTAATCCAATTAATAGAAAATATCATTTATAAATAAATTGAATAGCATAATATTATAATTTAAAATATAAAATATCATTATATTTTCTTCTAAATTTTATTTTATTTTGATATATTTTAGCGATTTTTAAAATATGTCAAGATATTAATCATTTATAAATAAAATGAATTAAAATCCTTCAAAAAAATCACTTTAGAAGCAAAATTTTATAGAAAATACTATAATTACCTAAAAAAAACTCATTTTAATAAATAGCAAAAGTCAAAACCCTATATTTTGATGATTTATTAATAAATATTTAATATAATTTTGATTTTTTATTATAGTTTTAAGTTTTAATAGATTTGCTAACAAAATTTTATTACAGATTTGCTAATAATCTCATTAAAATCTGAGAGTTTTGTTAGGCAATTATAGAAAATACTCTGAAAATTAATCCTTTAAGAAAATTATTTCAAAAGTGAATTTCTTTAAAGAAATTCAATCTTGAATGCACTTTTTTAAATATATTTTTCTTTAAAAAATGCTTTTAAATACATTTTTCTTCAAAAGAAATATTATCAAATGCATTTTTTTAAAGGAAATATTATTAAAACTATTTTTTTTAAGAAAATGCTATTAAAATAACTTATCTTTAAAGAAAAATATCTTTAAATTTATTTTTTAAAGAAGAAAATATAAGCTAATAAATTGAATTATGCTATAAGCAAATTACAATATAAGCTGACTTATTTAATTCACAGCTTATTTTATAGTGATTTAAGTCAAGCCAGATAAATTAGTTTATTAATTTAGTTTATATAAAGTTTTAATAAAAATCTGATCCTTAAAAGCCTTTAATTTGTAATAAAATTAAGAAAAAAATATAAATTTATGAAGATATTTTTGATATTAAAGTTATAAAATATAAATAAAGATTATTTTGAATAGTTTATTTATCAAATTATTTATATAAAAAATTAGTATTATAACATTTTCTTAATATAATATAACTAAATATAATTGAATAAAATATTAGGTAATAAAATATGAATAAATATATATTATATCAGTAAATATCAATAATTATCTCTTTATATTATGTAAATTAAAATATTTGTCATATCATATTATATCCCTTAATTTTCATTTTTACTATTTATTTAGAAAACTTGTTTTTTTAGAGTAGTGAAATCTTATTTGTTATAGAGTTAGAATTAGGATTAGTTAAAGTTAGTTAAGATTAGTTAGGATTAGAAAGAGTTATTTAGAAATAGTTAAAATTAATTAGGATTAGGTTTTAGCATATTATTAAAAGAGAATACTGATATTCCCTAAAATGAAATAAAAATATTCTAAAAGTATTATAAAGTTATAATACAATATTTTTAATGATTTTTCTTTATTATGTTTTCTAGTTAAATTTACTTTTATTTATTAAGATAATAAAAAAAATACTTGTATTCTACTGACTTTTAAAGTATTTTTTAAATAAATAAATTTTAACTTATGTTATATTATCTTTTAAAAACTGCTTTTACTTAAAGTTAATATTATAACTGTAAAATTGAAAAAAAGTGTAAATTTTAAAAATAGCCGAAAATTTTAAAACTAATCAGTTTTTTTACCAATAAAAGTTTTGAATAAATTATTTGAAAATCATATATTCTGAACATGATTTATTAATTTTTAAAATGACAAGTATTCTTTAACTTTATTTATATATTATTAAATATTTACTAGTAATAAAAGAGATAAGCTAACTGAAGAAGATAAATTTTTATCTGAAATGATAATGATTTATCTTTTAAAACTTCTTTTACAAAAGAAGTAAATGAACCTATTTTATCTTTTTCAAGAAAAAAACTTTTTGTGTATTTAAAAAAAAGCAAAAGTAAATATCAAATAAAAAAGTATTCCAAAAAAAATGGCTTAAAGAATTTTATGATTAAGATATGATTCCAAAGAAAAAAAATACTTTGTGAATTATGTAGATTTCATAGCATTAATGTTCCTTTTGCTAAAGAAGGTAGGTTAATTAATTATTATTAATATATAAAAAATTGTAAAAGAAAAATTAAATATAATGTTTTTGTCAAGTATAAAATTCATTATTTTTTTTTAAAAAAAAATGAACTGGAAATTTTTATAGAATCAGAAATTTTTTCTGAAAAAATCCGATAAATGGAAAACTTATCGGCAAAATTTCTGATAAATCTGAAATTCTATTTTTAACCCTGAATACCAGTGTGAATTTTTTTAGATCGTTCCGGACTTAACAACGGTCTGTTTCCTAGTACTGTTCATACATTGTTTCTAATGTGTAACGATAATTCTTTTTTTTTAATCAATACTCCGAATAAGGTACACAAAAAAATTTACACGATAAATTATTTGTTATCTATTATGGAAATTTTTTACATTACATACATTAACTTACCTTAAGAATTATAAACAAACTAAAAATTTTTTAAACTAAACTACTTTTATATAGTGTAAATGAACATGTAAAACGAAGTTAATAATGTATAGAAAATTTTCTTCCTAACAGTAACAAAGAAAATTTCTTTTTCTTTACTTCTTTGTTAATTAATTTTAGGAATGTACCAATTGATAAAACTTGTTTCATCCAAAGTTTTCTAATAAAAGGCTTAGTACAAATAGCGCTTCCCACAAATTGATCCAAACTGTTAAAATCCGATTGGGATACACTACATATTCAGGAATTCAATATTTCTTTTACTGTTCTTTTTTGCATAACACAACTTATAATACAAAATTGCCTGAAAAAAAAAAAAAAAATTATGCTCAATAATAAAAATAAATCAGGGAATTCTACTCCTAATACTTCAACTTCAACCAAAAATGATGTTATAATATCAAAAAAAAATACTCCAGTAAATAATCCTAATTCGAATAATAATTATTTAACACAGCAGTCAAGCGCTTTTAGTCCTACAATTACAACTGTCTCTTCTAGTTCTGCTGCTACACCATCTTCTTATAATTCTTATTCTCAACAACAACAATTTTTTGCTAAACTACAAGCTACTCAATCTCCAACCGACAGTAACAACACTACGATGCATAGTTCAACCACAAGTCGTGGTCACGTCCATCAGCCAAGTCTTAGTATAGGTCCAAGTCCAAATAACAAATTCTTACTTTCGGATTTTACCATCTGTCGTACTCTAGGTACAGGATCTTTTGGTAGAGTACATCTTGCTCAATCTAAATATAATAATAAATTTTATGCAATGAAAGTATTAAAGAAATCCGAAGTAGTACGTTTAAAACAAGTTGAACATACAAATAATGAAAAACACATTCTTGAGCAAGTTCAACATCCTTTCTTAGTTAATTTATGGGGAACTTTTCAAGATAGTACTAATTTATATATGGTAATGGACTACGTGGTTGGTGGTGAACTATTTAGTATATTAAGAAAATCTCAGGTAAGGATAATATTATCAGAGGGTAAGGGAAATTAAAAAAAAAAAAAAAAGGTTTTTATCTATCAATTGTATTATATACCAAGATTTATAATGTATAAACTTACTCAATTTTATTATTCTTCCTACAGCGTTTCCCGGACCATGTAGCAAAATTTTATGCTGCAGAGGTTGTACTTGCATTTGAATATTTACATTCAAAAGATATTATTTATAGAGATTTAAAACCAGAGAATTTACTATTAGATCGTAATGGACATATAAAGATCACAGATTTTGGGTTTGCAAAATATGTACCTGATATAACTTGGACGTTGTGTGGTACACCAGATTATTTGGCACCAGAAATTATACAATCGAAAGGATATGGAAAAGCTGTAGATTGGTATTCCTTAGGTGTACTAATATTTGAAATGTTAGCAGGATATCCCCCATTTTATGATGAAGATCATATGAGATTATACGAAAAAATATTGTCGGGTAGGATCAAATATCCTTCTTCTTTTGATCCTATAGCAAAAGATCTTTTAAAGAGACTTTTGACTAGTGATTTAAGTAAGAGATATGGTAATTTAAAGGCCGGTAGTAAGGATATCAAGTCTCATCAATGGTTTAAAGGTATTGATTGGGATAAATTAATTCAACGGGATGTAACAGCTCCTTATATTCCTAATTTTAGTGGTGATGGTGATACGAGTAATTTTGATGTTTATCCTGAAGAAAGAGAACCTTATGGCAAGCCATCTAACGATTTATATAGAGATAAATTTCCATCCTTTTAAAAGTGGGTAAAAAAAAAAATAAGAGTTTTTTATATTTAAATCTTTTATATTAATTAATTCTCCAAGATTACACTAACAAACAAAAGTAATATTTTCTTAATAGACATTTTTTTATTGGATGAATTAATTAATTATCTTTAATTTTATTGTATTACTAATTTTGTTAAATTATATGATATTAAATATCAATGTATTATTTGGATTCTTTTTTTAATTTAGATTAAAATTATTGTTTTAGTAAAATTACATTTATAGTTTTTGTACAGAAGACAAGTTTAAAATATTTAAAAAAATCAAGATTATACAAAAATTACAAATTATTTTTTTTAAAATAATAATTAAATTATTTAATAAATTTAAAATAAATATTTAAATTATTTATGAGTTAATTAATTATATAATTTTAAAT